TAATATTCTGTAGTGCATTTAGTTATTGCCCAGCAAGCACACAACATCATAATACACTAATATTAGGTTAGATTTAGGTAAAAATTTTATGTCTAGCCAGCATCTAAGGACAATGTTATTTTGATGTCCAATAATGCTGTCAAATGATGTTGATATTTGGTTGATTTTAGGTTGTGTTAAAAAGTGACCAAAATCCAACATTGAGCCAACATCTTAAACCAGCATCATATTGACCTCAAAAACTGACATTTATTTGTTAGGTATAACAACTAAAATCCAAAAATTGGTAAACGTCATAATGGTAATGTCCATACAACGTCAAGCTGTAACATCATAAGACGTTGATATTTGGTTGATTTTAGGTTGGACATTGAACATAGATGTCAGGCTGACATTGAGTTCTGACGTCAATCCGATTTTCACTTTCAAATAAAATGCAATGTCTCCATGCCATTGGGGTACAGCGTCAATCTGATGTCATGTTTACTTCTTGTGCCTGCTGGGTGTTTAAGGCCATTTCAGTTATCATACAGCAAATACAGCGCATTACAAATAAAATGTATTATTATTATTATTATTATTATTATTATTATTATTATTAGTATGCGTCATTTTTTCATCAGTGACATGCATCTTAACCAGGGGTCTCAAACTCGCGGCCCGCGGGCCATTTGCGGCCCTCAGTGCAATATTTTGTGGCCCGCGCTGACCGCTGTACACTGACAGAATCAGCGGAGCGGGGAGAGAGAGCGCTCCCGGCTCCGCTGATTCTATCCGTACACAGCGGTCACTGGCATTCCCCGCCCGCCGTGTAAGCAAAGGGGCGGGGATGCCGGTGACGTCACCACGCACCCCGCCACTTTGTTAGACGCTGTGACGGGCGGGAAGTGTTAGGAGGGAACTCGCGCCGGCCAGAACCAAGGTAAGCTGTTCCCGCCCCTGCCTGCCACTTAGCTACCTATCTGCAGCCTGCCACCTACCTAGCTACAGCCTGCATCTTATATATATTTTAGGTAGATACAGACTGGTACAGACTGATGTGACTGGAGTGGGGTGGGGGTGTTTTATTTACACATATATACGCCTTTTTTTTGGGTGAGGGCAGGCACGTGCACACATAGGGCTCAACCTGGGCAATGCACATGCCCTTTTTAGTCTTGGATAGAAAGTGCGCTTCCAAAATGATCAAAAGTGCCCCCACGACGCGGCACACCTTCAGTAGGCGCGCGACAACACCGCTCTTGAGTACGCGCGCGACAACACAGCTGATCAGTACGCGCGCGATAACACCGCTCTTCAGTTTGCGCGCATCCACTCTGCAGATCTGCAGAGACCCCTGATCTAAACAGTCTCCGAGTCAGTGTGTGTAAAGATTTTGGACATCTTCTTGGACACTTTAAATGCTTCCAAACAGCTTGCTGCAATTATCCCATGTCTTGAGGTAGTTCATTATGATGTGATTTACCATCTATGTGCGATTTGATTGGACAGGAATCACAGGACTGATTTGTCTAATCCCCATAGACAACAGAAAATATAGTAGTGACTGCAGGTTGACGGAAAGTAGTGGAGTAAAAGTACACATACTGCACTAAAAATGTACACAAGGGAAAGTAAAAGTACACATTAAAAAAAAAAAAAAACTACTAAGTAAATTACAATTCCTGAGAAAAACTATTCAATTAAAGTAGTTTGAGTATTTGTTATTTGTTACTTTACACCACTGGCAGTAGTTGAGGACAAACAAAAAAATCTGAGAAATATCCTAAAACACTTCATCGGAACAATTTCTTGTTCAAATGCTGTTTCTTGTTTCTCGGTCCATTGTATTATTCAGAAATAATGCACATCATGGCCACATCACCACCTCAGATGTGTATTGTTTTCTAACAATCTCCATCAGTTATTCCTTACATAATTATTGCAGATCAAACTATTCATACACACGCGTAATTTAAAGCGGAATCTCTGGTGCTCCATGCATACCGTTGCAGCCCTGTTTTGCATGCGCGCCATTGCATGACCTATTTTTCAGGCGCCGCTTGCTTCATCTCAAAGCGAGTGTCAGTTTTTTTCTTTTTTTTTATGGGTGAGAGATAGAGAGGAGGGTGACTGGCGCTGATAGACGTGTGTTTATGAGTGTGTGGCATGAACGTGTGTGTCGACACGGTATTGGACACGCGGTGTTGGGTGAGGTGCTGAAGATACTGTGTGTTGGAGCACCTGGTGAATAAAACATCTGAAGGATTGGGGGAAGGGGACCAGAACAAGTGTGTGTCTCATAAATACTGCATACGGCACAGAGGAGAGTATTGTCGAGTCAAGAGGAGCAACATAACAGTACTGTAAGAGGAGATACACTATACTACATAAACAACAAACAAAAACACAACTCACACAGGGCCAGCTGACTCAACAAAGTTTTCAGTGAGGGTCTCTGTGTGGTCGAGTGGGAGATATGGGTTTGTTATTGTTATTATTTTTTAAATTTTGTTTTGGCCCTGCATTATGTAGACTAGAGTCCATTATAAGGTTCTATCTGACATTTTTGTCAAAATTGAGTTACTGAGTTATTTTACTAATCCATCAAGCACAGCCAGTGGTTATTTATTTATTTTTTTTATTTTTTTATTTATTTATTTATTTATTTGTTTTATTTAATATTCTTACTAAATTACAACTTATTTACATTATGGGATGTTTTTTATAAGTTGTTTACATTTTAAGACTTTTTGTTTAAAAAATGTTACACACATATTGTTTGCTATGGAATGCAAAATCTTTGAAGCTCAATATCTCAAAATCCTTCAGAATGCAGATAGAACCTTATAATTCCAAGGTGACAAAATGTAGATGTTTATTTATTGCAATTATAATAATATAGATTTAGATCATTTAAATTACTAAAGATGAAAATTATGCATATTGCATTGTGTAAAATCATTTTTACAGTCATTTTACAGTCTTTACTGTAAGCTTGATTTTCTGCAAGATTGTTTTTGTAAGTTTTTGTTTATGGTTATAATTGTTTAAAATTACTGTTATTTTAGAAAATTAATATTTTTGGACAAAGTTGACACTTATGAATTTTAATAGTTATTACAAATATACAACATTGCTTTGGTGGTAAAATTTATATTCATATTATTATTTGTCTTTCTTATTTTCTTATTTACTCATTGTAGCTTTGCCATTTAGGCCTGTGAATAAAACTAAAATACAATTTAAAGCAGAAGTGTAATATTATATGCATCAAAGATTAAAAAAACAAACATACTTTTCAAATATAACGCTCACTAAATTAGAAAAAAAATGAAATCAAGTATTATGATTAATACTTAAAACTGTAATATTTAGTCTAAATAGATAATAAGGTTTCATTAAATAATGTTAGTTAATATATTTACCAACTTGAACTAATAATGAACAAAATTTGTACACTAATATGTTGCAACATTTGATAATTTATTACTAAAATACACATTTATTGTAAACATTAAAAATGGTGGTAATGCACTGTAATTTGACAATATTATTTATAAAATAATATTATTATTTTCTACAATAATAATTGTATAAAATAATTTTGATTTATTTAACATATATATGGGAAAAAAATCTGTGCATTTTAATCATTCTAATTGGAAATATATGGAAATGTACAGTTGAAGTAGAATTATTAAACCCCCTTTGATTTTTTTTTCTTTTTTAAATATTTCCCAAATGATCTTTAACAGAGCAAGGGCATTTTTACAGTATGTCTGATAATATTTTTTTCTTCTGGAGAAAGTCTTGTTTGTTTTATTTCGACTAGAAAAAAGTAATAAAAAAAAAAAAACATTTTAAGGTCAATATTATTAGTCCCTTTAAGCAATGTATTTTTTCGATAGTCTACAGAACAAACTTTCGTTATACAATAACTTGCCTAGATACCAAAATAATAGGCTAACATGACTAGTTAAGTTGACCCCAGAGGGTAAAATGTCACTTTAAGCTGTATAGAAGTGTCTTGAAAAATATCTTGTCAAATATGAATTACTGTCATCATGGCAAAGATAAAATGGATCATTTATTTAAAATGAGTCATTAAAAACTATTATGTTTAGAAATGGGTTGAAAAAATCTGAAATTGGGGGAAAAAATAAACAGGGGGCTAATAATTCTGACTTCAACTGGATATTACTCCCTGAATAAAATAGCAATATTTTATTACTTGATTTTCAGTAATATTTTCAGTAATATTTTCACTAACTTGCTTGATTTTCATTATTAGAAAGCGTTTATTCGTTTCTTATTTCTTCTTCCTTTGTTTGAATTAAATAAAAAATCTCAATATCAAAATTCTAATGAAATTCTGATTAAATAAGTAAAATTTAGTAAATGTAAGTGGTTTATTTAAAAGATTAATTATGAATTAAAAATAAATATTGCATTTCCACAAAAAAATTGTATTAATACACTGTCGATTAAAATCTTATACCATTTTTGTGATTATTAACTATTGATTTATATGATATAATATAATATAATATAATATAATATAATATAATATAATATAATATAATGTAATATAATATAATATAATATAATATAATATAATATAATATAATATAATATAATATAATATAATATAATAATAAAAGTACTCCCGTTAGCTAATAATATAATAAACAAAACATACAGATTACATTTCATTTGAAATAACTAATTAATTATAACACATACATATAATACAATTATGAATAAAACAAACTAATCTTTTCTGTTCCATATTATACAAATAAAAAAAAAATATTTTTAATTTTTAAATCTTAACATTTTAGACTATATTTAAAAAAATATTGAGATATAAACAAAACTTACCATTATCATTACTATTTGCCTTATTAGAACGCAACAGAACGGCCATTAATAACTATAATGTCACAGAAAAATGTCAAATGTGCAGTAATCGGATCAACCTCAGCATGTGTCTTTAGTTGTACTTTGGTGAAACTGACCGTGTCTCAAGCGGGACGCTGCTGTTCAGAGCCCAGCTGTCCTGAAGCTGGACAGACTCCGGGGTGGAGGGTCCGTCAGGCGGGGCAACAGCGGCAGGTGCGTGGCTCTGCTGGTTCCTGCGTCCCGCCTGAGCGCTGCGGTTCAGAGAGTTAGCAGACGACTGGTGGTGGTGGTTGTGTGGAGGAGGAAGAGGAGGACGAAGAGACGTCTGACTGTGATGACTGGACGCACCTGAAAAAAAAAACACACACAATTTAGCACTCAACTTTTAGGATGAGCTCTGATTTTCTTTTCTTTTTCATCATTTTTTTTTTTTGATTGAATTTGTAGTTTTTGTGTGCAGTAATAATCTGCTTATTGTTCATGCATAAAGCTGTTAGAGGCGAAGCACTAGACATTTTGCAAATAGACGATCAATTGTGAATAATATGATTTAAGCAGGCACAAAAAGAAGAGTTTGATAACGTCTCTACTGCTTACAACATTGAAAGATGATTTTTAATACAAATTTCCTGAAGACCAAAATGCATTTGTATTGCCTTCCTGACATGCTGAAAACAGAAACACAATTAATAAAAAATGCATAGTTTGCTATTGTGTTAAATTGCGCTATATAAAAGCATATGTATGACCAAAAATAAAGTGCAATATATTACAAAAATATTTTATGGCATGTATAACCCTATAAAGCAGGGGTCACCAATCTCAGTCCTGGAGGGCCGGTCTCCCTGCGGGGTTTAGCTCCAACCTAGCTCAACACACCTGCCTGGATGTTTCAAGTATATCTGGTAAGACCTTGATTAGCTTGTTCAGGTGTGTTTGATTAGAGTTGGAGCTAAAATCTGTAGGGCACCGGCCCTCCAGGAACAAGTTTGGTGACCACTGCTATAAAGCATGGTCTGTATCGTAATCATTGCATTTTGAATGTTCAAGTCTTTGAAATATTGATTTTTGGACATTTAAACTATTGTAACTACACTGAATAGTTTCGTCATTTAGGCCTGTGAATAATACAACTTGAAGCAGAATTGCAACATTATATACATCATACTATAATAAAAAAACAAAAACAAACAAACATATGTTTCAAATATGACACACACACACACATTACAAAACAAGGTATTCGGCGGGCCGAAAAAGACTGGCTGCTGGCCCCGAGGAAGCCTTACTTTGGCCCAATTAGGCCCCTAGAAGGCACGATAGTAGAAACGCAGCTATTTTATGAAATCCAGTATTATAAATAATACTGAAAACTGTAATATATTAACCTTCCAGTCACACTTTATAAAAATGTTTCATTAGTCAATATCAGTTAAAATATTTACCAACTTGAACTAAATAATAAACAATACTTGTATTTACTAATGCATTATTAAATTAGCATCAAATATAGTACAGTATCAAATGTATTTTTCATTATTTGCTCGTGATATATATATAACATTAACTAATACAACCTTATTTTAAAGTGTTTCCAAATATCCAGTAAACCAAAGGATAACTATTGTTATGTTTACAATGATTATTAATTATTTCTGACGTATTAGTCAAATTATTAGCCCCTTTTAATTTTTTTTATTCTTTTTTAAATATTTCCCAAATTATGTTTAGCAGAGCAAAGAAATTTACATATTATATCTGATAATATTTTTTTCTTTTGAAGAAAGTCTTTTATTTCGGCTAGATTAAAAGCAGCTTTTAATAAAAATTTAATGAATAAAGATAAATAAATTAAAAAAGTGAAAATTATTAGCCCCTTTAAGCTGAATTATTAAAACTATTATGTTTTGAAATGTGCTGAGAGATTTTTCTTTCCGTAGAAATTGAGGGAAAAAAAAATAAACAGGTGGGCTAATAATTTAGGAGGAAATTTAATTCTGACTTCAACTATAGTTCACAAAAATCAACTAAAGATAACAATATTTAAATATATATTATAATATACTACTTTATTATTATGTTTATTTATTCATTTTAATACAATTATTTGTTAATTATGTAAAAGGAAGCAGGCCAAAAGCAATGAGTATGAGCTTTTTTTTCTACACTTTCCCTGATGAATTCAAATATAATATATTATAATAAAATATAATATAATATAATATAATATAATATAATATAATATAATATAATATAATATAATATAATATAATACACAACACAACACAACACAACACAACACAGCACAACACAAAACAACATAACATAACATAACATAACAAAATATATTATAATATAATATAATATATAATATATAATAAAATAGTAGTATAGAAAAATATTATGTACATAACAAATCAAAACCTGAGTAATACTTGTGATAAGTATCCTCCAGTGCTTTAGATATAGGGCATGACATAAGTTACTTTTACTGTGTAAACACAGACCTATTCTTATAAACTCAAATGTGGAAAGTTAGATATTTCAAAGCATATAAAAAAAAAAGTAACATTTGCCCCACCTGACGCAAAGTATACATTCCACAGCATCTAATGTCACAAATTCAATTATCCACACAAACCACCGTAAAAGGCACTTCGTAAATTAGCTTTCCTTCAACGTAACTGCTAGAAATAGCAGTGCAGATATGCTAATGTGTGTTTCACACCTCCCACACATCAGGTCAAACGGAAGCAAATTCTTCCAGGAGCCCCTGAAAAAAGTGAGGGTTTCAAAAGTGCCTTTGTGTCCCCTAAAAAGAGGGTTTTTTGGGAGATGAAAGAGGATTTGAGATCGGCTACGGTCTGAGGGCCAGGCCTGTGTAATCTCTCTACATGCAGTGTGTCAGAGAGCTCGGAAAAAACGCAGCGCGACAAAACCCGGCCGGGCACAAAGCCCCGCTCTGCCAGCTTACAGCGCCAGAGGAACTCTGGAGGAACTCACAGCCTCCAACAATGGTGCTCAAAACACTGGATTATCGCCCAATGACATGCCCATCAAAACCAGCCCGGCCACTTTACAAAAGCATGGGAGGAACTGGTGCTTTTAGAGGCTTAGAGCTTCGCCGCGGCCGACGCGTCTTTCTTTGTTTTTCTGCCGTAGTCTGTTGAAATCGATGCGACAGGCAAAAAAAGAAGCGCCGTCTGAATGGGCGTCTGTGACAGTGGCCTTCGATGGGCAAATAAAGAAGGTTTTTTTTCCCCTGGTTGGCAAACGTAAAAGCATGCCAGGGGTCTCGATATGAAATTCTGGAACCGCTGAGGGACAATGAGCCGCTCCTGTGGGTTTATTATACTGAACGTGGAGCTGGCGGCGCAACACTGAGCTAAAGTCAGTACAGTAATGCAGAGATTACTGTTATTAGCACTGAGATTAAACTCAAAATCTCTGACTGTAATGTGAAGGTCTCTGGCAGGCAGGAGGTGGAGGACAGGGGGTCGCTTCAGACGCCTGTGGAAACAGATATCGATTGTGTAGATTTGACTTTGCTGTCGGAAATTTCCTCTGACGGCAACTTAATTGAGTGGAGCATTTTGGAAATATTGATTGCTAAAGTGGAAAATAAAATGGTAACATATTCATCTGATTTATAATGAATGATAACACTTAAATGTATAATATGGAAGAATTCATCAAAAAAAAATAAAATAAACAATACTTGAATATAAAAAATATTTTACACCGTTCAAACTATTTAAATATTGGAAGATTAGAAGTAATGCTAATATTCTTGCCTTTGTTTAGTTGAGGAGACATTATAATAAATCTTCACTAATATATTTTAAGAATGATACATGAAGGGTTATTGTCATATCCAGTCAAATCTCAGAATGGCTAATGCTGTCTAGACCAATAAACACAAATCCAGTCAATATTAAAAGATTTTAAGTTAAGATTTTAAGAGTCAGATTTGAGTGAAAAAAATAATAAATAAAATTAAATCAATATTTTTCAGAGAGAAATTGAGAAATATAAAATGTTTGGATCTAGTTACACAGTAAATGCCATATCTGACTATTAAATTAAATTTAATTTAATTACATTTCCATAGTCTTTCAAGTTTCAGATTTGTATACTTTTACCAAGCTTTATAATGTTGTCCATATAATGTCAATTATATAGACTGTATAACATCAAAATGCATGGATTTTTAATGTTACATCTGTTACTGTACTGGGTTACAAAGAACTAATGATGGAATATAAACTACAATATACTAAACTTAAATAAAACAAAATAAAATTAATACAATTTTGTAAAATAAAAATGAAATATAATATAATAAAATGTCAAATTTGGGTCAACTAACAAAAAAATTATAATTAAATCAATATTTTTCAGAGAGAAATTGAGACATATAAAATGTGTGGATTTAGTTGCACAATAATTAGCTGAATCTAACCAACTGTCATATCTGACTTAGCAAATGGGTCAGATATGACGGGTTTTTCATGTTCAATATGTTTTCTTTTTTTTCTGGGAAAAATAAAATGCTAATTACGTTATACAACCAAATCTTTTTGTATGTAATTCTAATTTAAAAGCCCCAAAATCTGCTCAGGTGTATTTAGAATAGAATTAGTTGATGACATATTAAAAGACTCTATTTAGGATCATGGTGCAACACCATAATACTAATCGTTTGAAATATTTATACTTTTCCAATTTACTTTAAATCACAGGTTTAAATCACAGGTTTTACCTTTTCATGTCATTTATGTTTTAATAAGTACAGATCAGTATAAATATGTTATGTCATTATTATAAATATTTTTATTAAATGAAAATGAAACATTATTCCATTCAGATTTTGTTATTTGTATTTTCCTAAAAAGTATCTGAAACACCAATGTAGTCTCTTTTCTTTCACATAATGTGCAATATGTGCATGTAAATCCCTTTATTAAATTTAATCTGATACAGATGCCAAAATGGGACACCTCGTCTTTGACCCATTTATGTGTCATATGACATATATGAATAATGCACAAGAAAGGAAGAGAAAAAAGACAGAAATAAAAGCAGTTGTCTTTTAAAATGTAATTTTAGAATTTAATTTATTCTATGTAACTATTTATTTTAAGAATTTTAATTTTATTAAATTCACGGTCAAGTTTCAGATTTTTATATGTTTACTAAGCTTTAAAATGTTTGTCAAACTGCATGGATTTTCAACTTTCCTTCTGTTACCATATACAGTACTGGGTTACAAAGAATTGATTTTAAAATAAAATAAAATAAAATAAAATAAAATAAAATAAAATAAAATAAAACAAAATAAAATAAAA